GATCTCCTTCGCGGCCAGGTCGAGGAGGTCCTGGACGATTATCTTGCCTTTCGCGCGCGGATCGACCCGATTTTGGCGAAAATTGACGCCCTCGCGCGCGAGAAGACCAACGCGCGGGCCAAACAGCTGATGGCGGTCATCGGCATCGGCCCAAGTGAGGGGCGCGACCTCATTGACCTTGGATTTGCCACCCCTGACGTCCCTTCACCGGATCAATTCTCGCAAAATCCCCATCCGAAGCTTTCAGAAACCTCTGGAAAGCTTCGGGGTCTGGTAAAAGGGCCGTTTGGCATCAGCGACGACTCCGAGAGCGAGGAGGAGGGCTTGATGAAGGATCGATTCGGCGGCGGCGAAGGCGAGGAGCAGATGCAGGAGCCAAACGATGCAAATCAGGATCAGCTCGAACGGCATAAAATCCAATTCGCGCTATCCGCTCTGGATGATTTTGAGGAAATTTACTGAAGGAAACATAATGGAATGGGGTTCATCGAGAAAGTGAAAGTTTACCATAAGCGCTATCACGAAAAAAGCGGAGCTAAACGGTTATTGTTTCTTCCTTTGTTTGAGCGTATATCACATAAACCTTACTTTATGTGGTTAGATATAATATGCATTGAGTAAATTTGATGCTTCTTGAATTAGTTACTGCTTGCAATATGTTTCCGTTGTAAATCGTTACTCACAATATCCACCCTCCTCATAGCAAACTTAAATAAAATTAGCAACCAAAAAACACATAATGCGAATAATGCCTAACAAGCCTTGGCTTCGACTGCGAATCAATCAAAATGTATGAAACGCCATTCCCCAAGCGAAAAAATAACGCAATGGAACATCAAAAGGATGGTATTTTCGCTAAAATGAACACTGTTCTGATGTGTGGGATTCCTTACAAATCGCATCCGCGGCGTCGTTTGAATATTCTCACCGTAGCGATGCCCGGCAACGCTTCCGGTTTCGCGCAGCTCGCTCGCTATACCGCGCCTGAAGATGGAGTTTTGATCCTGGATAATGGCCCCCTTAAAAAGGAAATTGCTCATTCCTATCATAACAAAAATCGTTTAGATAAACGCCACAATCGACATGAATCGAACTCCGCATTTAAAATCCTATTCAACACATTCCGAAGGCTTTGGTCGTGTCGTGTAGTAGAAGAGGAAGAAGAAAAGGAAAGGAAAGATAATGATTTTGCTTACATGAATGAAGATGTGGAAGAGGAGGATATTATGATGGATTCGTATTCTCCACTATTATATCACGCCACTTCGCATTTGGGTGTTCGTCTTCTACATAATATTCTGCCCTCGCCGGAGGTGGCAGAGGTTGTGCACTGTCGTTCTTTACTTTCCGATTCATCGTATTATTCTTTATTTTTTTCGTTTCTGTGGAGTTTGCTGTCGTTATGGAATCCATTTTACTGGATTTTAATATCCAAGGGCGTTTTGGCTTCTTTTTATTTCGGAAATCGCCCGGTGGAATTCTATTATGTGGAGTTTGGGCGAACAAATTTAGGTGGGCTCACCGATCAGCGAAGCTTTCTGCGAAATATCAAGCGAGCGGTACGTTTGATCGAGATGCAAACCGTCGAAAAGGGCGAAACGCGATCGCGAAGACTTCCCAACGTAGTGGAATCTATCCGTCTACCGCTAGATTATGTTCAATCCTCAACATTGTCATCTGGAAAGGATGAAATACTTTTTTCTTTAAGGCATTCGTGTAATTTGAAAACGCATTTGGTACTTTTTGGCTGTAGTCGAGGCGCAACGACATGTTTTTACACCTCAATGAAGCTTCCTTGTTATTTAGCGGCCTACGTTTCGTTAATCATTTTGGAAGCCCCTTTTGATACGCTTGAACATGTCATCCAAGCCTCCTCGTGGTTTCCATCCTTGGCGAGGTTTTTTTTCAATTCCTTTTGCGATTATCACGGAAAAAATGAAGAGACGATGGCGTACTCGTACGATCCAAAGCAGGTTTATCTTCGCTGCCCGGTGGCCTTTATCCTCTCAAAACGGGATTCACGTGTGCCAAATGGCTGCTCAGAAACCCTCATTCATCAACTTCGGGCGCACTTCGTTCCGCATCAAATCCCCGCCGTGGAGGTTTTGATCCTAGAAAACTCCCGCCATCCTTGCATGGCGGTTGGAAATCAGCAGGATCAGGAAAAGTATGTTGCTTTTGTGGAAAAATTGTATAGTACCTATTGCGTTTGATACCATCATGGGACTGATGCAATTCGTTTTTTTTTGTTTAGAAACAAGCCAAAAAACGTGTAGAGTGGGTTTACAAGCATATTAAATCATAGTAGCATGTTATTCTTTTTGATTTTCGAACGAGGTCTATAGTTGGTATTAGAAATGGTATCTCATTGGATTCTATTTTCCTTTATTTTATCCTTCTTTTGTAATCGTTAGGCTGGCTTTAGAAATATGGTACAGACAGTGGATAGACATATTGATTAGAGCAACAGTTACGAGAATAGACATCTTGCGTGTATACACCTGTTGAAACAAGAGAAAAGGGTTTGGTCGTCCACTTTTCCTCTTGCCATTTTCTCCTTAATATTACTATCTATCTGCTATCTTTGATGAAATGGCAACCTCGTCGTCAATGTCCGCATCAACTACGACTGAGATAAATCACACTGTGGATAAGATTCCCGTTCTTTACAGCGGCTCTCTGCAGTTTTCAATTTGTTTAGGCACCATAGCGATCCCTCTTCAGAATACTCAGCCTCTTAGTTCGGAAAAAATCCCTCGAGGCGGGGAAAAGCCCACCACCAATATGCAAACGAGACCGAATTACCATTCTTCGTCGCCTTCGGGAAGGGGTGTGGTCACGATGACACGCTTTACCCATCGCCGCTATTGCTATATTCGCGATGGAAGCGAGCTCGCCGAGGATGCCTTCTACCGCTGGCTCCACCACGCCATGGCCAATTCCCCTGTCGATAAGACGGCGCAAAACAAACCAGACGAAGAAGGTGAAAGAGAAAATGGCGAACGCAGCGGAATGAAAACCAAACGTCCACCCGCCACCTTCAGAGACGATACCATTATGGAGGAAGAAATCAATTCTCGGCAGGCTTTTTCGCAGCGTAAGTGGTTTAAATCCGAAAGCAGTGCGCAACCAACGACGGCCTTTTCGACCCCTTCGAGTGATCCTCACGCAATCGTCAAAAGCCCCTCTTTTCTTTACGCGATGGTGCATCACGTAGAGTTCATCCTTCCTGATAGCTTTCCACAACCCCGTCGGATTCTCTACGAACCTCCCTTTATTATTGACGATAACTGCTGGGCAGAGCACCTCATCGAGGTGCATCTTTTCTTTCATCCCTCTCTCGGGATCCCGCCGGTGGTGTTCCTCCAGCATGCGTTTCTTTATTCACGTGAAATACTATACACAAAGGAAGAAAAGGAAAGGGGAGAAAAGGAAACGACTTCTTTACGATTGAGCGCAAAGTCATTAGGGCGGCCAAAGCCTCCACTGTTTTTGCGCATTCCCGCAGCAGGGGATTCGAGCAGGGATTTAGAATATGATGTTCAAGTGGAAAATTTCCTCCCTGCAAGCGAAAAGGGCGAAAAAGAACGTGGAGAACAGGAGCTTAATACCTCATCTTCTTTGGTGGAGAATGTACGGGAAGGGGTGCGGGGGGTTCTTTCGAGAACGGTAATTATCGAGCGGCAGGATATGGTTCGAATTTGGCATCCCACGCTGCCGGTATTGCACTATTGGCGGGAAATCCTACGAAAAGCCTCATCTCCGACGATTCACGAGCTCCGCGCATATTTCAGGCGAGAAGTTTATGATAACCTATTCACTGATGATCATCCCAATACGGAAAACGGGAAACACCATGAGAAAAGCGCGCTGCGCGTCCGCGTGGGGTGGATGGAGGAGGTGGATCACGAGATTGCCCTAAACGACGCCAACGAGAGAGCTGAAAAGGAGAGCGACCCAACAACGCCCAGAAGGGGTCGAAAACTAGAGAGGAGGAGCCTAGAGCTTCCGGGATGCGGCTTACGCGCGTTTGTATCCAACGGGACTCCGCCGCCGTGGGGATTTCCTTTTGAGCTCGCGATTGCGGTACAAGCGAGGCGGCGCCCGGCCAAGGCGTTTTGCGTGTTAAAAGGGACCCTTCAAAATCTTCTCGACGAGCAGGCGGAGCTGCTTGGCGGGTTGGAGCGTGTGATTAAGCGGTTAACGACCTCCACGGCGGATGTGCAAGTGGAGCTGAATCGATTGCACGAGGCGTGTATCGAGCTTCTCCCCCGGTGAACGCGTTTTCGGATGGAAACGAAAAAAAAGCAACCTGGAGGCCGAATCCCCTCCCAAGCGTCTTCCTACCCGGAGGGCTTTAACAACCCATCCTAATTAAAAAAAAAACAAAAACCAACTGACCTGTAGACTCTGCGGTAGACCACACCGGTACTTTCAATGGACACTTCTTTTCCCCTTTTTTTTCCTCTTCTTTTTCCCCTGTTGAACTACCTAAGGAGCCTCCAAGTAGCCTTATTTCACTCTCCGCCTTCTATCCCAACGGCGCGAACGCGGTCCGCCCTGTCACAGCCCAACCCACCCCAGGCGCACGAGGGGGGCCCGGCGATGAGGCGGAAGAACCCGGGGATTTTGAACGCGCTCGTGATGTGCGGGCCGTCGGGGGTGGGGAAGGGCACCCTCCTCGGCCGCCTCCGCCGCGCCCACGGCGATCGAATCCAAGTCGCCGTCTCGCACACAACCCGGGCCCCTCGCCCGGGCGAGCGCGATGGCCACGATTACCACTTCGTGGACCCTGAGGTGATGGCCACAATGCGGGCCAACGGCGAGCTTCTGGAGGCCGCGGACATCCACGGCAACGTCTACGGCACGAGCGCCGCCGCCCTTCATCTCGTCAGCAGCTCCGGCCACGTTTGCCTTTTGGAAGTCGACGTTCAGGGCGCGTCCTCCCTGCGCGCGAAGGAGGGGGAAGGGGCCCTCACCGCCCGTTTTTTCTTTATCACAGCACCGATAACTGTGCTGGAGGATCGGCTGCGCAAGCGTGGGACGGAGTCGGAGGCCACGCTAAAACGCCGTCTCCGGACCGCCAAGGCCGAGTTCGACTTTCTAGAGTCCAACCCCGACTTCTTCAACGCGGTGATCGTCAACGACGATCTGGATCGGGCCTACGCGCGACTGGTGGCTTGCATCAACGCGACCTTCACAGAATTTGGGATGCCTCTGCTGGGGGAAGGGAAGGAAAACGGGGAAGCGTCGTAGGTCTGGCAAAAATATAAACCTTACACGCTTTTCCATCCCCCTTCACACCTATTCAGAACTTCTCGGGTTTCTATGTGCATTTTTTTTTGTGTGATGTTGAGTAAAAGTGGTGTGTAGTAATGTATATACATTACTGAATAGTTTTTTGATTTGCTACGAAAATTTTCGTTTCATTGGCTGATGTTGTTGATTGGTTTGGTCTTTATCCTTCGTTTCCTTTATTTCTTGTTTCTCAGAGAAAAAACATATTATAGTCCAATCTATTTTGTACTGAGACCCAAATTAAATGTCAGATACTTTCTCTTGGGGTAATAATAAGCTTTTCTCTTTTTACATTGCACTTTGAAGTCTCTAAAGAATCTTTGGGTGAATTTGCTTGAGTAAAGACTCCATTTTTTAACTTCATGTACTTCTTGCACAATAGTAAATAATGTAAGCCGCATGGCTTACCGATTTTGGGGGTCAATTGCTTGCTTCGAAAATAATTAAGTAAAATCATTAAAAAAAAATGATATTAAAATATCATTGAAAATTGAAGAGCGACTTAATTTTGTTGATTTTAAGCAACACACAACAGAGGCACACTATATAAATATTAAAGAGGTGTAGATGGGTGGAAAAAGGAGGAAATTGAAAGTGCTAGTATAAGCATTCAAAAATAATATTAATAAAAAAAACTGTATTTTTCAATTCTTTATCTTATAAGAGAAAAAATGAGATGCAACAGAACATATGGATCTATAATTGTCATATTACCATCACACTCCCGTTTTTAATTTCTTTACCATTAGTATTAACAAAAAAATTTAGGGCCCAGTATAGGGAGTGTAAGGAGAAGGAAATCCATCGGGGAGGGAGGGGAGGGGAAAGAAAATAAATATATATATATTTTCTTTTTATATGTCATACAGAAGAGGTGTGAACGTTGACTCTCGTATCAATCCGCACAGCACTGGTAATGCTATCGATAACGACTTGAACAGGGGGAGTACTGACAATAACAATAGCAGTAATAGCCGCCGCGTTCCGCGTTATATACCACTTCCGGATGCCCTATATCGTCTTCGACATCGTTTCCCTACCGTATTACAAAGTTTATTTCTTGAATGCACACGATGTCGACGGTGGACCACTGTAGAAGTTCTTTCCGAGATTCCTGATGAAGTTTTAGATGCCGAGGTTGTGGATGATAGGAATTCTACACCCTGTGGTTTGTCCACTATTGTAGCTGGGAGTTCTACTCGGGAAATAGCGCTGCGTGCGAAGCGAAAATCACTTGTGTGTGAGGATAATCAAAATCCTGAAACAGGCGCAGAGGTGAAATGGCATTCACCACGGCTTCGCGAGCACATGCAAAATACTACTAATAATAATATCAATGGCCTTCCTTCTAAACAGCCATTCAACCCTGAGGATTTATCAAAAACAAAAAATAATTTGCATAGTAGTAGCCAATCTAGAGGCGCCGATCCCGATCGTGCGGAGCGGAGGCTCTTGGAGCGTTTAATGCAGAATAAAATTCATTCACGCAGCGCGCAAAATGAAATAGGAACATCCTCCTCTTCACAGCAGCAGCAGCTATTTATTCCTAATCCATTCTGCTTTACCTGCGATTGGCTTTACTGTCAGCAGGCGGATCTTCTTAGCGATCTTCGCCAAACTTGGTTAGGAGCGCTCTACAAAACAACACTTTCATTTACCTTTTCAGGGTCTGGTGAGCCCAAAACGACCTCGGCAAGACCCTCGGAGGAGGTGGAGGAAAAGGATGAAAGGAAAACGATGCCTTCTGTGTCTTCTACAATGCCTTTCGATGTTTTGCGCGGCCATCAAGATGCCCTAAATGCGGAACTTGCACGTGAGCTGAACATTCGCTGGAGCGGCCGCCTTGTCGCCGAGCGTGAGAAGCGTCGAAGACAACTCCTATCATCGCAAAACTCAAAGGGGTTAAAACCCCATTCTAGTAATGGAGAGTCTAACAATGAAACCAACAACAGCGAAGAAGATGATATTAACGAGCTTTTCCTTCGCGAAGAAGCAAAGGCAGCGAAGGGGCTCTGCAAAGTAGGCTCATACGGCCTCAAGAACCTCCGCAACACCTGGCTACGAACCGCGATGCGGCATCTTTTAAAAGATCGATCCTCCAAGTCATTTTACGGTGACGAAGAAGGGGAAAGTGTGGCGCTTTCGGCCTTTTGTTGGGTAGTTTGTGAAAACTGTGGGAAGCTTCGTAGGGTTGCCCAGCCTTTTCCTGGGGGGGTGCCTTTTATTTGCGCGTTATCGCGTTCCATTGGATCCTGCAAGGTGCCTGAGGTCGAGGGCTTGATCTCGTGCACGGCCGATTTAACCGAAGTGGAGCTCCGTCGGGCTGTCTTTGCGTCCGCTATTCTGCCCTATCCACTTCACCAATACGGCACCCAGCTCCACACGGAAGGGGAGGATCTCAGCTTGACCCTAAAAGAAGAACCTATTTCCACAAAACGAAACGGCAATGCGGGAGTGAAAAGGGAAGAGGCAAAGGGGAATGGAGGGTGGGGAGGGGCTAAGGACGATGAGCCGTTTATGCAGGAGCTGCGCTCAGAGCTAGGGCAGCGGCTCGTGGCGTTGCTCGAGCGCGTGGCGGAGTCCCACTCCAAGTCGCCATCTGCTACCCATAAACGACAAAAAAACAACGGTTACAGAAATGATCACGGGATATCCTTGATTGAAAGTGCGCTTCCCTTACTGAAAGATCTCTCCGCGCGCGTGCAGAAGCGTCTGCTCGGTACTTTCGCCAAGCAAATCATGACCATTCCCCAGGAGATTCGAACCAAGCGCGACGACATCCTGAAGGCCTCCTTCCTAGATGAACCAGCAAAGGTGGAGGAGGAGAACGTCGTCAAGGAGAAAAGTACCATTAAGCAACCCTTGGAGGCAGTAGAGAACAAGCATTTGAAAAAAAGCGCCGTGGCTAACTTTGCTGTAGTGCAGAGAGAAACTACGCCCCCCGACTCTAACGTACAAAATGAAAAGCGGAAAAGAGGAGTGGAGCTGAGTGAAGATGCACCTCGAATGAGGCGGCGTAAAGCAATGAGTAAAACTTATGAACATGAAGCCTCACCCAAGTCAGCGGAGCTCCCAACTAGCGACATCAAGGCTCCCGCGGGATTGCCGTCTAGGCGTCAAAAAGAAATTACCAAGCCATTGGTTGTCAAGTCAGAGGAGCTTGATACCAGTGGCCCGGGGAACACTCAAATCTTGGGAGTTAAACGGATCCGTTTATCTCGGGATGAAGTTAAACTTCCTTTATCTAATAGAACTTCAATGAGCTCTAAAGTGGAGGATCAGGCTCCGGTCGTGAAGCGGAAGAAAGGTCGGCCTCCAAAACAAAACACCGAGCTAGAAATCGTTTTTTGGGTTAGGTGCGATATTTGCAATAAGTGGCGCATTGTATCTCAACCTATTCCCGATAATACAACGTTCTGGGAGTGTAAACTTCGAGATGACAAGACGACTTGCGCGATGATGGATGATGAAATCATGCTTAAAAGTCAAAGCAGTAAGTGAAGATGAACAAGCAGGACGAGCTTCATAAATGAGGTAAAAGTTTTTTCCATTCATCCTTTGTGAGCAGAGGATTAGAATGGAGAAAAGTCTATCGCTTGGTCCGTAAAAACATACTTAGACTTCTGGTGCATGCCTACCTGTAACTTAAAGAAGGGTGAATCCAATTAGATAGAATGGTGATATTTTGGTAAAATTACAACGTAATTTATTTAATCAATTTTCACACGCAAAATTCTCCCATCTTGTATGAGTACCTTCAATAACTTTAGGCCTGTTATACACAAAAATAGTCATTATAGCTAAAGCAAACCAAAGAAAATTTAGTCTAGCTCATCTTCTATATTCTTGTAGTGTTCTACTTTCTTTGAGTGTTCTTCTGCTGCTTCTTTTTTTTTAACCTTTCCCATTGCCCTTTTCTCGTGAGTCGGAACGATGAGTGAGGCTGGGATGGACTTCCAGGAAACGACATCGGCCTCGGCCGCCGAGGTGGTAGACCCGGCATCCAAACACGCCCCGATGTGCTTTGTCTGTGGCCGCTGCAAGTACCCCATCTGCACCGCCGAGAGCATCATCTTCGACACCGTGGATGGCGGCACCACCTCGCACGCCTTTCGCTACGACCTCGACTGCCTGCTGGACCTTGACGAGGCCGAAGGA